CCCACTGTGCCATGGTGGAGACCCAGTCCTTGGGTGTCTTTTACATTGATTTTAATATTAAGTAGACTATAGGGTCCTGGATAGGATCCTCCTGGGCAAAGCATGATCATACAAAACTCAGTCATTTGTAATGGTCAGCACAAATTTTCACAGGCCATGGAGTATGAAATACAAAAAGAACCCTTAGTTTTAAAATGTTTCCCCCAACTCAACCTCTATTTTGGTTCTCCATGCCACAAAAAAAAAAAAAAAAAGTAATCTCAGTCAATTCTCAGTAAAGAGTAATTCTAAGATTTAAAAATTTGTTGCCCTTTCTTCTCCCTCAGAGTAGCATCTAAGTTTCTAAGATTATACGTAAGAATGTGAATCTGAAAGGCTGCTTCTGAGAGATACTCTTCTTGGAAGATGGCCTGTGCCAGCCACAGAGATCAGCCTTTACATCTGATCTCTGGTTATGGTCACCCTTGTAGGCTCTTGATAAGTTGTTCAAGATCTGGCCTTTGGTTAAAGATTGGTAGGCCTTTTCCCCTCTGCACCCCTGGAAGTCATTTAGGATCTTCCAAGCAGGGTGTGGGGCATTTTCTTTGTCGAACAGTCTTGTCTACTTTCTTTTTTTTCAAAGAAAATTCCTAGGTGTTTTTCTTCTATATAATTATTTTCTTTTTTTTTTTTTAAAGATTTATTTATTTATTTATTTATTTATTTATACAAGCACTGGGTACAGTCAGAAGCGCGGGAGGGTGAGAGAATTCACCAGAGCCAGAGCGGGGAGCAGAGCAGGCAGAAGGACCGAAGGACACTGCTGAGGGGAGCAGCGGGCGGCAGGAGAGGTCTGCGCGCCATGTGGGACCCTCCTCTGGTGGCCGGGAGCAGCCGGGGATCGAACCAGTGTTGCAAGAGGCTGTGGGCAGCTTCGCAACCCAGCGCTCAACCGCTGCGCCACCGGGGAGGCCCAGGCTTGTCTACTTTCAACAGTATCGTTGTGGAGTGTTTCTTAATGGTTCACAATGACAATTAGATGAGACATGAAGCCACATTAGCCTCTCTTTAATCTCCCAGAGGAAGAGGGTGGGGTTCTGCCTTTCATCCCTTCTTCAGAGGCACAGGGTTGCCTCCCCATGTCTTTCCCATCTTCCAAGCTCTTCCCTGGTCTGGGTTGGGTGGTTATGTTGGTGCAGGGGACATGAGATCTCACTCAGTAACTATTCTTGCTAAAGCTTTCATTTCGACATCTAGACCCCAATCTTAGAGTTAAAAGCCAGGAATGAGACATCGTTTTTCATTTTTCCACCAATGACCTTTTCCCTTCCTCACGTGACCTGACCCCCAAGCAGAGGGGTAAGAAGACTAAAGGTAGGAAATAAGTTTTGCTAAATTGTAGGGAAATTATGGAATTATCTGTCAAAGTAGAAATAAAGCAGATTTATTGAGTAAATGTACAGGGTTTTTGGTGTTCACTGAATTTTATAGAAACAAAGTATTCAGGATAAATTCAGCAGTGGTATTCTTTTTATGCTTCTTTTCCTAGAAACATCCATAATTTAGCAATTAAAGGGTCTCTGCTTTTTTTTCTTTTAAAAGAGAGAGGAGGGGTCTCCCTCATGGCACAAGGGGTTAAGTCTCAGCACTGTGAAGCTATCTGTAGCCACTACAGCAAGAGTTCGATCCCTAGCCAGCGAGCTACCCACATGGCACAGCAGACCTCTCCTGTCTCCCTGCTGCTCCCCTCAGCAGTGTATTTCGGTAGATCTGCCTGTTCTGTTCCCTACTCTGTCTCTGGTGAATCCTCTTACCTCCCACACCTCTGGCCTACACCCCAGTTCTTGCATGCATAAATGAATAAATCTTTAAAAAAATAAGAGAGGGGATACATTTTTAAAAATAATCTGTGAATTAAAACATTGAACCTGCAGATGGTGCTGTGGTCCCATTTTGGAATTGAGCTTCACTTTTAAATTCATAGTAAAAAATTCAGTTCTTTGATTTACTTTATTTTTATTCACAGGTAATAAAATTGAATTGTTTCTTTTTATTTCTGTGTTTGTTATTATAATAGGAGAGAAACTGTCTTTATCAGTGGAAACATCTACTATTGTTATTCTTTGTAGATACTAAGTTCATCCCTAGATAACATAATAATTAACTTTTATGTCCTTGTCTTTTATATTTTTCTGCTCATCATTCGAGTTTGGTTTGTCTGTGACTCCCAATCAACTCCCTTTGCTGTTGCTGTTCTTAAATAAAATCGCTTCACTGAAAATTGGGTGACGAAAAGCTAAGGATAAAAAAATTCAATATGAAAACCATTTCAACCTCTAGTTTGTAATAATCAGGTAAAAAAAGATTTCCTGGAATTAAGCCACAGGAACTCTGGCTTAAGTCAAAACTGTCAACTGGGAAACAAATTTCCAGACATTTTGAGATTTAATTCATTTAATTTTTCTTGTAACTGGATTAGAAAATATGATTAAGATGGCAGGATATTCTTTTACTGCATCAGTCTGACTTTGAATGAAGCAAATGGACAGAAAAATCTCAAAATAGGAGAAAGAAAGTGTGCTTCAGAGACATTCTTCCTTGAGAAACATGAACAAATATATGCAAGAATAAACACAGAGGAAATTTTAAAATAACACAAGGAAAAAAATGGTACTTTACTGTCAATGAAGTTGCTTCTATGGCTGCATTCTTACCTTAAACTCTGATTGAATATACGCTAGGCTTCTTTAACTTGAAAACCACACCAATAGAAACCAAATATTTACCAAATTATTCCATAAATGCTTTTCAACTAATACTTTTAAACCACTTGCCGGCTGACTGTGTTTGATGTATTCAAACTCTGGTGTGGGTGTGTGTATAAGGATGGACAGAAAATACAAAGTAATTCTACAGAGTGCCAGACTTTATAAAAATGATGGTCCTAACTTCCAGATAGGATTAAAAAAATGAATCCATTTAGGTATGTAATTCAATAATTTATTTTTCATTATTTGAGATCATGTATGTAAAAGTGCTTTGGGGGGAATTATGACATTTTATGCAAATTTGAAATAGCAGTACTACTACAATGATTACAGTGTGTATATTAAAATCTTTCTGAAACATTCATCCTGAGATTAGTTTCAACTTAAAGGGAAGTTAATAATAGAAGGATGGACAAGGATTTCTAGAATGCTTTTAAAATTAGGGTAGATCAAGAAAGATTAAATAAAGATCTACATGAATAACATGTAATTTTTAAAAAGCACTAGAAGAATCAATGCTGTGCGGTAAAGGAGAACTATGCATTGGAAAGCATGATGAATGAAGTGTTTCCTGCTTTCTGCATCTGTTCCTGCACATAAAATTCTTATTATTTGAAGGAACTCTAGGAGTCCTCAAAATCATACTAATCATTCTCTTGCTTCTTGACTTCTAATTTCAGATTAAAACATTTCACATTAAACTTGGTACCTCTTGTTGTTTAAAGAAAAGTAAATTTCCTCTTTACATCTTATGGCTTAAAGTTACTCACTATAAATTTATACAAATCAGACATAATGACAATTAAACAAGAACTGTAAGCCCTATTCATCCTGTGGGAGTACTACTGTGACGTCTTTCAGGGAGCTTTGTGATTGCTCAGCCCTAAGTATAAGCCCTATAAATGATGGGCTTTGAAATGCTGGTCAGGGTAGAGTGAAAAGCAGTTGCCTGCAACAATAGCCAACTCACAGCTATTACCAAGTTCTGGTTCAGCTCTAAAGACAGAACTGGTGAGTCTTTCTCTGCCTCACAGGAGTTCAGCACCTGGGACAGCTCCGACACCCTTCTGAACAGACCCCTCCCAAGGTACTCTGCTCAGCAAGGTAAGTGAAAACATCACCATTCTCTTATTTTTTCTTCCCCTTCTGGAAATTTTCTCAGGGAATACTGAAATTTTCTCTCTTTTAAAAAGAATTTTACAGTGTTCTTTCTTTACTCAAAAGGACAAGTTTCTCAATTCATTTGGTAAGTATAGAAAAGCCTCAACTTGGATTTTCTGAATTATTTTGATTGAAAAATGTTATATCCTTCCTACCTTTTTACTTAAGAGTTTTAAAAAATAGATTTAAATAGATTTCTTTCACTGTTTTATGAATTTTTGACTGAAGTTTTCAGTGGGCACATTGGTTTTTGAAGTTCTTAAGTTGGTTTTAAGAGCTGGTCTTTCTATTTCTGGTTGCATGAACCTAGGAAGCATTTATTTTCTTTAAGTTGAAATGCTGTTATTTTTATGGACTGCAAGAGAAACATAGCCTGAACTCCTAGGTTTCTTTCTAGAAAATGTTGAGAAATGAAATGTGTAAGTGGAAGAGATAAAAAAGAAAAAACCCAACAACCTATAGACATTGTTTTTGAATATATTTTTCCTTTTATGTCAAAAATATTTAATTATAATATGTGATTTAATAATTTTTGGCTTTAATTTTCATTGATTTAAGTTTTTCAAACCCAGGTTGGAGGAAATAAATCCCCCTATCTATAATTGAAATAGAAAAAGTAAATATATACTATATGCAAAATAATTTTTATACTAATATGACTATATACACACATCACTAAATAGATGATACTCCAGCTTTATTATTACATAGTAAAAACTTAGATAGTTCCTTTGAAGCTGTTTCCTTAGTCAGTAAAGATATTGAACTTGGATGGTACAACTCTGTTAAAAGGACATTGACCCCACAGTTACTTCTGGCACAGGTATGGCATTCAATGTAGACTTGGGCCAACTGTCTGCTCAGTAGTTGAAAGGAGTCTAATTTATTTTCAAGCACTAGTCACCAAGAGCAATCCTCTTGATTAAAAAAGTAATCCTATTAAAGTTCAACTTTTTCTACAAGAAAATTAGTTTTTTTTTAATCAATTCTGCACAAGCTTTCAAAATTGCTGTGAGACACTCAGAATTACCTTGTTGGTGACACTTGTGATTGGGAAAGCTGATGTGATTCTCTGTCTTTTGAGGTGTAGAGATGGAAAACAGAAGTAAGTCTCAGCTCCTCCTGTTCCTGACGCTTTTCAGCATGATCTTCTCCCAAACATTGGCTTGGCCTCTTTTTGGAGCACCTTCTGCTCTCAGGTAAATTCTCTTTCCATTCAGATACACACACCTTCTTCATCGAGATGGGAATTTCCTATATCTTATATTGGACAGCTCAAATTTTAGTAGCATTTTTTTCAACATTAATGCTAACATGGTTACTCTGAATCCTCAAATTCATGGGTGATGGTGTTGATGACTAGACACTATGTTTGTGGGTACAATGGACCACTTTTCCAAATGAGGTAGAAGGGAAATTTGAATTTCCTTTCATTCAAAACCAATTTTAGATAAATAATGAAATTTCAGTCATTGCCATCTCAGCTTAGTTCAGTCTCTGATGGAAAAATAGATGCTAGGTATCAATTCAGCTGAATTTTAAGATCAATCATTAAATAATAATAAGGCTAATAATTAATTTGTGAAATATATAAAGTCATGTCACCCAAAAATTTATCTAGGATGAATAATTTACCAGTATTAAAAATTGTGGGATAATTGACCTACTGAGACACTGTCTCTTGATGAATGAATTTTAATGTACTTGGTTTTAACCATAAATTCATACCTACCTTTCTCTATGTTGCTCTTTATATTTCAAATTCATGTAACACAATTCATACTTAAACCTTTATCTGGAATAAATGTACTCTTAAAAAGTAAACAGTAGGTGCAAACTACATTAGTTTGATTTTTTTTCTTCTAATTTATAGGCACTGCGGTATCTAAGGGCAAAATAATAATTTCTTTACTGATTTTTCCATTCCTGACCCTTTGCTTTAAGTAAACATATGCTCAATAGAGTGAATAATCTCTTAGTTGCTAATGTTTGCTATAAAATCTGCTTAAAGCTAGATCTTAAGTGCTGTCTTAACCAAATAGAATAATTCTATCTGAATGGTTACATCATAACAGATGAATGATCACAAGAATGCTGAAACTTACATTGACTGCCAGGTTATATCCTTGCTTATTAGAAACTCTAAAATATCACACAAGATACACAAATGCCCCCGAGCCTGCACAATTCTTGGAGGTTTACCTAACTTTGAAAATATACACACATGTATAATTTTAATATTGTTCTGGTGTTCAAAACACACAGGCACACACAAAAAGAGTCACAGTCTATTACAAGTGTGACTGTTCACAGTCTTCTAATAAAGCAGTATGCACACTTAATTAATATTTCTTCATATATAAGATTAGAAACCCAAAATCCCTTCAAAATTCACTGAATTTGAATAGCAATTCAGAGATAAATTCTTTGGACTTGCTTAGTACAAAGAAATAGATCACACCAAGATGAATCTTTGAGGTGAAGTTTAGGAACTAGAGAAAGAAAAGCAATTAATAGTCAACTCTTGAGAATTATATGAGACATGATACTAAATACCAACAAGTACATGAACTATTCTCAGTTTTCATATTGAATATGAAAAATTTTCAAAGCTTCTTTTGTATACAATCTTTCACTTCTGAAAGTTAACTTAGCAAAATGAAGCTATTGCAAATGAAGTATATTTTGCTTCATGCTCTGATAGGAGTGCATAAGTAATAATTATGCTTGGTACACACAGCTTTTAAAATTTATATGACATGTATTTTATGGGATAATCAAATACTCTACTACTTACACTCTTATAAAGCATATAAGGAATTAAATCCAATATATTGTGGATAGGTGATATTTCCCAAGATTTTAACTATCTTATTTGAAGTTATTGTAAAACTGTAAGATTATGTTCTGGGAAAGGAATGCACTATCTCCTATTATATCTTTTCATAACAGACTGGGTGAAAGAATTCAATATGAAGGAGCAAATGAACCTGATCAAGTATCATTAAAAGAAGACACTGACTTCTTGCAAAATGCATTAGCTGAAAATGACACACCCTATTATGATGTATCCAGGTGAGTTTATTTCAGTTGAGTTTTATTTTAGAAAATTTATTTTCAAAAGATAAATGTCTTATTTTAGTGTTACCACAAAGCTATTCTTCCAGCAAAACACTACAGATTTATGCCTCTCCAGGAATTTCATAGAGAGATGTTGTAACAGGCTGGGATACACAAATCATTCACCAACATTCCATTGAATGAAATTTCAGCATCAGACACTGTTTCAATTCTAGTAAAACTACAGTATTGATGATTCCATGATAAAGGAAGTTCTAAAGCAAGAGTTTCACCTCTATGTGAAGAAAATGTATACAGTAATAGGTGATAGTTGTGCACAGAACCATCTGTCTAGAGCGGCCTTCAAGTAGAAACAGAACTCTATACTAAAAACAAAATAAAAATGGTTTCTTAGTTGAATGGAAAAGTTGTTTAATGGACCCTAACATTCTCTCTATCCTAAGGGAATTTGTTTTCAAATATTATGGCATCGATAGATTTTCTGCTAATATTAGGGTATATTTTTCCTTGCATTTATTCTTAGTCAGGGTAGAAGAAAGTACCATAAATAAAAAATAGGAATTAATTTCATATATTTTCCAACCAATATTTCTTAGAGAAGAATAAGTTTTATGTATTTTACCAGGGAGCATTATTTAATGTTGAGATCAACTGCTAAAAAAGCAAATTTCTTTTAACTTTTCAAAGTGGGGGATAGGTTGGGGTGGAAAGGCAGAGTGAATCTTGACATAAGTGACTAATAAATATTACTTTCTAGGTTATTTACTTGTTAGGATTTAGATTTATATGAGAAGCTTTGGAATTAAACTAATAAGTTTCTTTTTTGTTTAGTGAGCCCAATAATATTTTTGAAAGCCATTTACAGAATGGTGATGATAGTTTCTTCCTCGTTTTAGGAATGCCAGACATGCTGATGGAGTCTTCACCAGTGACTATAGTCGACTCTTGGGTCAACTTTCTGCCAAAAAGTACCTTGAGTCCCTAATTGGAAAACGAGTTAGGTAAACAGAATTTATGATTTTTATTAAATATATTAGTGTCATTTAATCTGAAAATTAATTTTCACTGTTTTTTTTAAATAATTTATATTCTTCAACAAAATATACCAGCTCCATGAATGGAAATAAGACTTTCTGGTAATATCATACCCATTAGCTCAAAACACATATTTTTCTTTAAGTAGTCATTTATAAATCTGCAATCAAATTGAACTGGACAAGGTAAAAATATAAGACATAGTATAACGTGAAGCAAATTTTAAGGTTACCCATAGTACTTGTTTTTTACTTCCAGCTCAAATCAATTTTTGGAAGATTCTCTAAATGATACTGACTATTTGGATGGTGCTGTCAGGATGACATAGGTTCTAAAGAAGCATTTTATCTTTAAAGAAATCCTAATGGCAGAACACATTTGTTTTTAAATAAATTATTTGCTCAGTTAGTACCAAATGTGTCTTAAGTCACTGCCAGTAAATGCCAACACATGTTGAATTATTTCTTGCTCCTTTATCCTTGGGATAAGATTTATTTTTCATGAAGTCTTTTGTGATCAAAAGTGTATTGAGTGTTGGAATTCCTTTTCATCTGACACCAAGAAAATTAGGATCTTTGGCAGATTTCTTATTTCTTCTTAAAATTCTGATTTCCTTTTCCTCCAATTCCTTAGCAGTAACATCTCAGAAGACCAGGGACCGATCAAACGCCACTCAGATGCAGTCTTCACTGACAACTATACCCGTCTTCGAAAACAAATGGCTGTAAAGAAATACCTGAACTCAATTCTGAATGGGAAAAGGAGGTAAAAAATAGAGAACTTGTGAAAATGAGAAATTATAAGTGACTTTCAAAATAGAAATTGCATGTGGACACTTATCTCTATCTCTCTGTGCTCTGTAAAGCAGTAATTCTTCACCTAGGCTAGCATTAGATTACCCCAGAGAATTTGTCAATATCCACGTCTGGGCTTTATCCAAAACAAACTGCCAGGAAATTTGTACCCCTGGGGTATGGCTTTAGTCATTGGTATTTTTTGTTGGTAGTGGTATTTTTTTTTAAGAGTTTCCACATTTGATCTATTGTGCCTGCACAATTAAAAATGATGATTGTAAAGGCAACTTGCCTGGGGGAAGGTTTACCAGAAGTGCTATTTTTAAAAGATGTAAAGTATAGTCAATTAGCAATTAGCAATCCCACTTGGGATTCCCTTGATAAGCGTATTCAATACTCTTATTTTGCTAAATTAATCCATGAGTTCTGTCTTAGCTTCTGAAACCTGTGTCTCGCTATGTTGTGTGAATTTGGAACACTGAATAGCCATGGGTACTTGCTCTTTTTTAATTCTAATTTTATTTACATGGTGAGTATTAAGGACAGTTCTGTTTGGGTGACATGAGATAAAACTCTCTTGCCTACTTCTTTCAGAATAATTTTAGGCACTTTAAATGAGGAAAAAATTCATAAATAATAGCTAACCTCTAAGATAATCATGTAACCACCAGCACACTGCACAGAAGGCAGAGAACAGTCCAGTCACACAGCATCACTTCTTCAGAAACTTTCTCATCTAAGAATGTTAACGTGGCGATTTCTGTTTCTGGCCTGCAGCAGTGAAGGAGAATCCTTTGCCTTTCCGGAAGAGTTAGAAAAATGATGAAAAAGCTCTTGGGCAAAGCTGCTGTCAACTTCCCAATGGTGGGTATACCTGTGCATTTTTATTATATTGTTGCTGCAGTCATTTAATTTAAGTAGGTAAGAGTCTCTTGGAGAGACTAAGTCACAGCTGAGAGGTGTCATAGCGAGACCTCAAGTAAGAAGGACACTTCTTCCTGAAATGCCCCCACGCCTGTGTAACAGCTTAGAATGACCTATGCATTGTTCCTGTCACATAAAAGGGAAAGCTCACAAGTAACCATTTTGTATGATAATCAGATGATAATCGTCATTTCTTTGATATTTTTTTCCTATGCTTGAGAAAAACTGGCCTTCTATGTGAGAATGAAGCCATGTTGCTTTTATTCTAAGTTTTTAGTCCCATAGACTGTTAACATCTCATTTAATTCAAGTGCAGAGAAATGCCACCAAATGACAGCACAGTTTGTTATAAAAATATGGAGGAACTCAGGCGCCCACATTCCTTGAAACATTGTAAACTTATTAGCAAAAATCAAATCCAGCTTTTTTTTAACCTGTAAATTGAGTGTAGGTACGATACTTCCAATAGTATTCATTGTAAAACTTTTTTTGAATAGGAAAAACACGAATAGATGTTTTCTTTTGTTGAGTAAGAAGCTTATTTTTAGGTAAACATGAATGAATATAAGACATATTTCTTTCCTGAATTATGTTAGTTTTCATATTAGCTCATAAAAACACATTTACAATGTTAGACAAGTGCGTAAAGAAATTTTATATCTGATGGCATCTATCAGAAGTTGGCAAAATTTTTCTCTAAAAGTCTAAAGAACAATTATTTCTGGATTTGTGAGCTCTATAGTTTCTGGTACAAGTACGCAACTCAGCTGTGCCAGCCTGGAAAGCAGCACAGATAATACATCAAATGGAGGGGGATATTTTTGTTACAGTAAAATTTTCCTTGTAAAACCTGAAGGTCGGCTGGGCTACTACCCATCACTACTAGATTAAACCACATCCAGGCTCAGGTGGAAGCAATTCAATGTCTTATTTCAGTTCCTGGAGCAGACAGCAACATTTTCCAAGAGAGCCACTAAGAGTGGCGAGGACTGTTGGTTGCTTTGGTGCAGGATCACCCCTTCATTCAAGAGAGATATGTGTTTGGGGTACCTCACATGCCTATTCCTTGTCATGCAGAGACATTTCAGAGGCTCAAAGAAGAAAGTTCGTTGCTTACAGATTTCAGAAAAATCAAAAGAAATCTCCCCATTAAATTAAGAAGTACAATAGGCACTAACATATAAAGGATTGGTTGTTCTGTCCTCGTAAGTTATAAGATTATTTATGAGATTCCATCCTTCATTCTTTTCTTATTTGAGTGGGTGACTTTGGACAAATTCTTTTAACAAGAAATCCTGTAAGTCAATTATAAGTGAGCAATCATGAAGGGCTAATTAGAGAGAGTGTCTAAAACATGGTTCTCTGTCAAAGACTGTTGACAAGGAACAAAAATAAATCCATGTTTTTCAAATAAACAGATAAGTGAAGAAAGCTAAGATGCTGTAAATAAAAATGCTTTTATGCTAAAACATCAATTCTTTCTTTTTCAGAATTCTTGAAGGAAAACAATAGGCGAAGCAATTATATTTTGAGTTCTACATAAGTAATTCAAGAAAACAACTTTAATATCAAAACCAAATAAAGTATATTGTGTTGTGAATGTTGTGACACTTTATTCTAACGTAATAACTGTGATGTTTACATTGTAAATATTATTTGAGAGTTTAAAACTAATGAAAGTCCTGTAATTTCATATTCTATGTATCCTTTCTAACAAAATATATTTAATGATAAGTAAATACTTAGTTAATTCCAATCATATGAGGCTTTTGGAAAGGGTAGTAATAGAGCAAAATTAATGTGTTTATTTATAGCATGTATTTAACTATTCAGAAGAGTGGAGCAGATAATCAGTATGTCTTCATTTGAATATTAAGTAGATCAAATGCTGTGTTAAATAAATCTCAAAATGTCTAAGAGAATACCAACAAGGGTCTAAAGACATTCTTTAAAAAAGGCTTTTAGAAAATGCTCTGCCTTTCCAAATTATTAGACAATCTTGATTTTTAATGTGGTTTAAAAATCCTTCAAATTTGGATCTCTAAATGCCAAAGACTCTTCTGATCAAGGGTTTTAGTTAAGGAGAATGGTCTCTACTTCTGGCATTGAACCTTTCCTTTATGCTTGTGTTAGGTATGTATAACATGTAAACCGAATGGAACTTTTTTTTTTCAGTAATATTTTTTTTTCCATAATCACTAGGATAATGCTTTGGTCAAATCAGCTTCTTTCAGTGAAAGTACATTTGGAGACAACTATTTTTCAAAAATGATTGTGAAAAATTAAATATAGAAAATAAAGACCTTTGATTATCATTGCAGATGCTTTCTATTGTTTCTGTTCTTTAAATGATGTATCAGTAACTGGTTTTAGCTCTAAATTCAAGACACAAAAGTTTTGTGATGTTTGAGGCAGAATCATCTTTGTGAGTCTGAAAGTAACAGTGACATAAAAGAAATTTCTTCCTCACATAGACCAGAAGTAAAAGTATTGAGGGTTAGTATAACAATTCTCTGCAAAGTTCTCAGTGATCTAAACCCCTTTCAGCTCACCCCTCATCACATCATCTTTGCCCTTCTCCTCATGATACAAAATTGCAGCTGGAATTCCAGCTGTCATGTTTTCATTCCAGGTATCAGGATGAAAAAAAAAAGAGCTTGAAATAAAAGGAAACATATAGTATGTTTATACTGATATAACAGCATCTCCTTGAATAGAACAGTTTTAGAGATATCATCATTTGCATGAGAGAACAGGATTTTTTTTTCTGAATTGACAAGTGCCCCACTAAAACCATGGGTTCCTTCAATATGAAGCAAGGAAAGAATAAATATCTGTGAGGATTTGTTGTTTGTATTATTTTATGAAACTCAGGTTATGGATCTTAAATTCTCATCAAACGATTTAAAGAAATGACAAAGAAAGTGAGAATCAAACTGACTTCAACCATTAATCAAGAATCACCCACATCATCTGGCAAAGTTGTGCTACTATTAAAGCAAATGACTATATTAGGCCTGACCAGTCTAGAGCTACAATAATTGCACAGCAGTTTACACAAGTTGAAGTGAATTGGCCTAAGTGTATTATATGTTCCTATCTGATTCCACAAATTATTTAATATTTGTAAAGGGCACTGCAATGAAAACAGAAATCTTCAAGATGTTATTTGAACACAAGGAGCTTATAAAGATCAATTGGGGGCATGACTGTAGCATGGTTTGAATGTGAAGCTGAAGAGGCTAAATTTGACTTAATTAATGTAAATCTTTTTACATTCCCTGTTCCTTCGAGAAATATGTGCCTAGTGGCTGATGTATAATGTAGATATCTGACAGGTGACTGTCCTGGGCAGAGGGAACAGCTAGTGCAAGGGAGGGAAGAGTCTGGCACATCTGAGGACACAGACGCCAGGGTGACTGGCTGGAGCAGCATGAGATGGACCAGGGCCAAGTAGGAGGTGAAGCCTTGGAGCACCCAGGGGCTGGCTGCAACTTGTGGGGCTTCACAGGCCACTGCAAGGACTTGAGGAACAAGAGGAGACATTGCAGAGTTTTGAATAACGCTGGGACATGACCTGAACTGCATTTTAATAGGATCAATTTGGTTGCTTCACTGGGAATAGGATGAATGGGTTGAAAGGGCCCAAGGAGGGAGACAAGTGAAGAGGCCACTGCTATAAATCAGGGGAAAGGAAGAGGGGACCTGGCAGAGCAGTGTGGGTGCTGTGACGTGGAGTCTCACTAGGTCTTGAAAACAGAGTCAATATTTTTGCTGATAAATTGCAGACACATAAGAGAAAAGTTAAGAATGATTCCCAGTGAATCACCTGAGCAACCTGAAGCCTGCGTTGCTAGTAACTGAGAGGGGGAAGCTGGGGGGTTGGGGGGGGCGGGGCACATGGCAGATGAGGAGGGTAGCTTTAGACATGTCAAAGTTGACATTGGGTGGATTCGGAGATACCTGTGAGGAGTTCTGAGGACACGATGGGCTGGAGATAAACAGGTGAGACACATTCAAGATGGTGAAGGGATTGCAAAGCACAGGACAATGAGATCTCTAAGGCCCTGCATGAAGCTGCAAAAGAATCTCAACATGTGATCCTTGGGTATTTATTTGCTAGCGCTGCCTTTACAAGTGCCACAGATTTGGGGACTTAAAAAACACAAATTCACTGCCTCATTGTCTGGAGGCAGAAGTCTGAGATTAAGGCGCCTGCAGGCTTGGTTCCTTCCGAGCAATGTGAGGGAGATTCTGATCCATGACTCTTCTCTGGCTTCTAGTGGTTTGCTGCTAAGCTTTATCTTGTAGAAGCATCACTTTATCTCTACCTTGGTCTTTGCATGGTACTGTTCGGATCTCCAAGTATCTTTTTTAAATACGAACAGCAGTAATTCTGGATTAGGGCCTATGCGAATGAGCTCTTTTAAAAAAGATTCATTTATGCATACAAGAACTGGGTGCATGCAGAGGTACAGCGAGGGGTGGTGAGAGGAATCACCAGAGACAGAGTGGGGAACAGAACAGCTGTGCCATGTGGGTACTCCCTGGCCGGGGATCGAACTCAGGCTGCAGTGGCTGTGGATAGCTTCACAATGCTGAGACATAACCCCTTGCACCACCAGGGAGGCCCCATTCATGATCTTTTTAACTTAGTTTCTGCTGTAAGAATCCTGTCTCCAAATAAGGCCAGATTCAGAGGGATGGAAACTAGGACTTCACTATTCATTTGACCTGTCCCAGAGCCCTGTGCTTGTCCTTACTGTGTCTTGCACACATGGATGACTAGGTCATCTCTTAGGAGGGTCTTATCTGTGAACATTGCCTTTGCCCTTTTTTGCCCTCTGCATTCCACTTTTCTCTTTAGAACCTGATCGGTCTAGAAATGGACAGAATTTGCCAAGAGCC